TTTCATATGCAGATTCAATTAGCATTTAGTTAATTAGCCTTTACAAATGAGGATTAACTTAATTACATAACACTAACCTCTCAATAACTCTAAAGGGTAGGCAGGCAGCTTTATTGAATTCAGAAGGCCTATATGTGTGTGTTGAGATCTGAAATGGCACACACATAAATTAAAGAATATTACCCACTAAGGATAACTATTCGAGATGATGATCAAAGGAAACAAACTATGTACATGGCTTTAAAAAGAAGTCTGGGATACAAATTCGTGCACGCAGCTGTCTGCTTGCTTCCAGAGCAATTTCTGCTTTATAGTTAGTTTTCTTGATTAAAGAGCCAACATTTCAGTGCTCAGATATGGTTGTCTGTTTGTGCATTCATGGGCATATCATGTAAATGTAGTGGCTGGAAGATTACTGCTCTTTGCCTAAGGTTTCTGTAGCTTGTCGAGGCGAATTCGGGCTAATTGACAAGGTGGAGGACACATTTCAGTTGTAATATCAGGCACGTAAGAAGACATGCAACCAAGATTTACCATTGGCTATTCAAAAATTAGTTGCACTTAGCTGCAGCAAGTTACACAGATGTCAGCAGAACGGTTTATCTATGTACTATGGCCAGTATGTACTGTGTATTAAATTGAGATGTCACCAATATCAATTTTATATACCTACACAGAGCTTCTGTTGGACATGATGAGATAGCCACTACTATTGACCTCAGGTATAACAGAGGGCAGTTTTATGACTAGAGTGTAGGAAAAATTCAGTTGGCTTTTGTATTTGAAATGAGAGGGCATTTCGTTCTTCACTATAGCAATTAAAATATCTTGGTCCTGTTTTGTTTTCACAAGTATGACTTGAAACAAAATGTTGCTGTGTGGAATGGTTTCGTCCAGTGCTTCAAGCAGCCAGCTACACTCTACTCCATTTTGCATTTTGTACCTGCATTTTGTACATATTAGGTATGCTCAGTGCTTATTAAAGCTGCTTTGTGTTTTTTCTTGCACCTTAAGAAGTTTCTTCCTCTTTCTTAATACTTAATACTTCTGTGAATTTGTTACTTTTGTGACTTTGTTTTGGCTTCATAGGTGTAACTACTCAGCACCTGTACTTGCTATTGGTATACATGATAGTACAGTATGTAATGGTACTGATTTCTGCTTGCTTATGGAGAGGATGCCAAGTATTCAAGATGGCATATGGAATGAGCAAAACAGAACATGGAGCAGAATTTGTTTTCTTTCAACAGAGATTTAGGTATTCCTCCATGCCCAGGCTCTGGTAACACATAAAAGATAAAGGTAAAGGTTCCCCTTGATAATTTTTGTTCAGTCGTGTTCGACTCTAGGGGGCGGGGCTCATCCCCGTTTCCAAGCCATAGAGCCAGCGTTCGTCCGAAGACAATCTTCCGTGGTCACATGGCCAGTGCGACTTAGACACGGAACGCTGTTACCTTTCCACCGAGGTGGTCCCTATTTATCTACTCGCATTTACATGCTTTTGAACTGCTAGGCTGGCGAGGAGCTGGGACAAAGCGATGGGAGCTCACTCCATCGCATGGATTCGATCTTACGACTGCTGGTCTTCTGACCCTGCAGCACACAAAGGCTTCTGCGGTTTAGCCCTCAGTGCCACCACGTCCCCTCTGGTAACACATAGATGAGTCCAAAACAGACCTTGCAAAAGTTACTTTCTTGGACTATGCTTCACAGAATTTCCCAGCCAAAATGGTTACTGAATTCAAAGTAGAGTTTGAACAAATTACCTTTTTGGACTACATTTCGCAAAATTTCTTTGGCTGTGAAGGGCACATTGTCTGGCACACTGTTCCCCCCCCCCCAAGTGCCTTACTTCCTCTTCCTACCACCTGTTACCTGCTGCATGAAGTAGTCTCCTCCATCTGTCTAATGGCAGGGCTATCCCCGAATATGTCACACACAAAAACCCCATATTCGTGTGACTATGACATCAATCCTTAGTGGCTCAGTTTTGGTCACAGTATAAAGATGTATGAAATGCATCCTTGTTGTTTTTGACACGTCTTTTGTGGGAGGATATAACGAGTCAATTGACCCATACTCAGACACAAACATAGCAACCTACTTGTAATTTTTGAGGATGAGGAACAGAACATCTATAGTCAAGGTTAAACTATCTTGCTCATACCACTTTTGCACAAAATCATGTGTATGACAACTTGTCTTGCATTTCACTGTGCTGTTGGAAAATATTTCTTTAGAAAATATTCAGCTTGCTTCTCTTGCAGAAACCCTGTGGCTTACAATGAATAACACATGCATCGTAATATAAATAAAGTGTCTCCCTTTGGGAAACAAATACTTTGACATTCTTTGCTGGTACTCAGTGTATCTTCCTCATGCATTTTCCTTCCGTGACTCTGCTGCCAACTTTTTTGGGGAAGGGAACGGGTTGGCTGTTTGCCTCACAGTTGGTGGCGATTCAGATTCTGGCCTTCACTGTTTCACCTGAATATTAGGTGCTTTAATAGAAATCAGAAATACCACGAGAAATACTTTTGTTTTACTAAGTGATCCAGAAAAATATGTAATAGCAGATGAAAGAAATAGCTTCTTATCCTTGTAGGCATCCTTCAGTCTCGAGAGACTATGGTAAAGTGCTCTGAATAGAGGTCTTGGAACAGCTTCTAATATGACTGAGAAGGCCAATTCGAGAGTGACGATCCCTTCCACACTGAAGACAAATACAATCTGTCCCCTGTCCAGCTCCCTAATTTTGCTGCTTTCATGACTGCCTCTTTGCCTCGGCCTGCTGGACAAGAGTCTCTTCAAATTGGGAGAGGTCATGATGCACCACCTGCCTCCAGGCTGAACGCTCAGATGTCAAGGTTTCCCATCTGTTGAAGTCCATTCCTAAGACCTTCAGATCCCGCATGCAGATATCCTTGTATCGCAGCTGTGGTCTCCCTCTGGGGGGATTTCCCTGCACTAATTCTCCTTACAGGAGATCTTTTGGAATCCAACTGCCAGCAATTCCTAGTTCTTATACTTTATTACTTAAATAGATTTGTTTTGCTTTTTGGATGCTTGTATTTTACTGATGAATGTCATGTGGAAAGATACTTTAAAAGTCTTTTCTCTAATTGCTTCTTACTCTGGAAGCTGGTCCTATGCACTTGGGTTTGTTCATCTTCTGCTCTAATGTTTCCATTTATAAACACCTGTGTTGCTGAAGAGAGCAACCACTTTTTTGTTTAATTATTAAAATTCACATTGAAAAAGGTGGCTTGCCTCTTCAACATGGAAGGGAAACTTTAAAAAAAATTTTTTTAGCATGTCACTGTTCTTTATTATTTTCATTACTGTCCCAGGGATCACCTTAGAAGTACAGCAGTGGCAAGTATTTATTTTAAAAAATTCTTTGGTTTTCCATTCCATTATTGTAGGCTTTTCTTTCAGCTGGTTAGAGGATGTTTCCAGAAAACAAACCTAAAGACAAAACAGAATTTAAATAATTAAAGCTACAAGCTGAGGTTATTCTGACATTTCAACTTAAGGAAGGAATTTCATATCACATCTAGGAAACTGGCTTGAGAGACAGCAATTCAAATACCAATAAATATATAACCCTGAAGTAGGTTTTATCTCTGTACAGTAAAATCTTTAAAACCAGCCATGTTAAAGAAATGTTCTAAAGTTCACTCAGCATAACAGTGTAGTGTAAAAAGAAAAATATAAAAACCTTTGAATGAAATGTTTAGTCCTTCTCAAGACAATTTTATTTATCTTTTTATTAAATGTATATCTTGCCACAAAATAGCCTTCAAGGTGGCAGCTAAGGCAGTGTCTTAGTCAGGTCTGAAGCAAGAATTGAAACATACAGTGGTGCCTCGCAAGACAATTGCCTCACTGGACGATTAATCTGCAAGACTATGGTTTTTTGCGATCGCTGTTGCGCTTCGCAAGACGGTTTTTCCTATGGATGATTTTCGCAAGATGATGTTTGGGTCTATGCTTTGCAAGACTTTCTTTTTTTAGGCAGATGCTTTGCAAGACAGTTTTTCCCCCCATTGGAATGCATTAAATAGATTTCAGTGCATTCCAATGGGGCACCACGTTTCGCAAGATGGTGTTTTTTTTTTTAGACCAATGCTTCGCAAGACGGTTTCTCCCCCATCCATTGGAACACATTAAATAGATTTCAGTGCATTCCAATGGGGAACCGCGTTTTCGCAAAATGATGTTTCCTATGGATGATTTTCGCAAGATGACGATTCCCCCCCCCCCATTAGAACGCATTATATAGATTTCAATGCATTCCAATGGGGAACCGCATTTCGCAAGACAATGTTTTCGCAAATCAGCGATTTTCGCAGAATGAATTAACATCATCTTGCGAGGCACCACTGTATTGGGATAATTGGCCTATCCAGACCCTTGAAGCTGAGATGTCATCACATACTAAAAAACTGAATATTGACAATTGGCCAGAACTTATCTGGTGCAGTGGGATTCACAGTGAAGTTTAAAACATGGGTGCCACCGTCTTCACCTCATTTAGGCATGGTAGTACCATTCTTTGTAGTGACCATACATCTATTGACCTCTGGCTCCATAGCCTGATACTTAACTCACTGAACTAACCCGTATCAACAGATGAAGGAAAGGTATTTAATAAAGCTGCAGACTCTTAATTGGCTATTTTGGAGGGAACAGGAGTGATTGATGGGACTGGGAGATGATAGCATAGCCTCTGTTACTTAAAAAGTCTCAGGGCTTTAAGCTTATGAGTCCTGGCTCCACTGTGCCACTGGGTGTAATTACTGCAACATTTGTAGTCTTTACTGTTGGAAAAGAGTTAAGAAAATGATGATTAACCACTTACTTACTTACGTTCAGAGGCAGCAGAATGCACAAACATTATACTGTGGGAGTTAAGAAAATGATGATTAACCACTTACAGTACTTAGGCGGCAGAATGCACAAACATTATACCGTGATGTCTCTTTATGTTTACACAGGGCTTTTGGGAAAATCACAACAAACTGATAAAGGAATATGGACCTGCTTGTGGGTAAGACACTCTGCCTTTCATTTACTTCTTTAGCTGATGTAGTGAACTGATCGTATGGCTTTAGTAGTGAACTGTGTCATGTTCTCAAGACCATCTAGACCAGCTTTTGTCTATCTGGGACCCTCCAAATGTCACTGAGTTCCAGACTGGTAAAGTCCCATGAGTGGCAATGGCCAAGTTAGGTAGAGTTAATGAAAACTCTAATCCAACAGGTCTGAATGGCACCAGTTTTGGGATGGCTGATTTGTAGCCAGTCAATATGACAACAACTGGGATGAGTAATGCTTGAATCCAACTTTTTTTTGAAAGCAAGAGAAAGTGGATGACTCAAGCATAGCAAGGCTATTTGCCAAGCCCTTTCTGATTTTACTTCTTTGCCTGATACCCCATTTGACCATATTTTAGATCTAGGAAAATGCACATCTATACCCCTTGTCCTGTTCCCAAGGCATTTGGCCTAAATCCAGTTGCCAGTCACAACCCAAACCATTATCATCATCATCGCATGCTGTCAAGTCAGTTCTGACTTATGAAACCCTTGTTCAAGGGTTTTTCAAGTAGAGAGTACTCAGAAGTCATTTACCATTCCCATCTTCTCAAGGGTTTTTCAAGTAGAGAGTACTCAGAAATCGTTTACTATTCCCATCTTCTCGGGGCCTCCTGGAACTGTGCAGCTTGTCCAAGGTAACAAAAGCTGGCTGTATTCACAGGAGTTCCCACAAAGAATTGAACTCGGAACGTCTGGCTCTGCAGCCAGATGCCTAAACTCCTGAGTTATCTCGAATTGATTGCCAAATAGCAAGTCAACATTAATGTATGTTCCATAGATTCAGTGGGTCTCCCTTAGCTGGGGCTTTCAATTGGAGTTAAGTCTTTACAAGAATGAATAGCAGCCATTTATTTGTGTAGAAAGAAATTAAGTAATGAGTTTGGGCCTCATATTTTCCCTTCCATCCATTAAGACTCAAGTTTGTTCACTCTACTGAAGGGGTGAGCAACTTGTGCCTGTTCAGATGTCTGTCTACAATGCCCATCATTCAACATTTGCTATCCTGATTTGGGCAGTACAGCTTCCTTGAGCTGCAGTGTCTGAAAGGTTGCAGATAGCTCACTTTGGAACTTGATTGAGAGATATATAATAGTGTAATGTTTCATCCAGAGAGGATGTTTCACTCAAGGAGCTGCATATGGAAAGCACAGCATGTCAGTTGTTGCTCAGCAGTACAGATCAACATTGGTTAAAGTGAGAAGACATACCGATCCCATCTAATTTAAGCACATCTGCCAGTTTTTGGCTTCACCTTTCTCTGACCTGGCGATTTCTATTGTATAACAAGAGGAAACTAAATATGTTGATATGCATTTGAAATGAAACCAGAAAAACAAGACAAACTTTTCCCCTTCTGCCCCAATGCCCCAAATCAGATGTTTTGATTCAGAGACAATTCAAAGAAGAAAGATGATTTAATTGTACTCAGTGACACACTGTCGTCCAATCCAGTCTGCTAACCTAAAAACTGTTCTAGTACGGTATCTTGCAAAGTTTCCCCACGTAAACTTAATTAGTGTAAGCTGTTGTACTGCCCCCATTTCCAATCCTCAAAAGCATAAAGATACACATAATGGCTTATATCTATTATACTGCAAAAAGCAGCTAGCTTAAGGAGCATTTAGTGTAATGCTGGTCATAATGAATTGCGAAAGCGTGTACAGTAGAATTCCCTGTTCTTTTGCAGAAGGATCCAAGGCCCAAAAATGTACTGCACAAAGGAAAAACCCTGAATTCTAACATAAAGATAGGCATAGATTCGTAAAACCACTGCAAGAAATTTCCTCCTCCTTCCCACATGTATCAATACTATATTACCTACAACAAATAAGGTCTTTTCCTCTCTAGTACTTTCTGTCTCTCTTTCAAAGCTGAAATTTTACATCCACAGCCCCTTTCTAAGGGCCTCCCACTCACTGGGTTGAGCCAAATCTTCCATAGGAGTTGCATTGGCACAACATATTGCACTGCACAACCCTGCAAGAACAAAAATGGAGAAGGTGCCACCTCTGTGCCACTCAAGATGCCGGCTTCCAGAGTGGTTACTTTCTCAGGACATGCCTCCAGTAGTCCTCAGAGGCAAACTCTAAGGTAGACCGTATTTGGGTAAATTGCCTCTGCTGGAGCACAGGTGCTTTTTCCGTCCATTCATCTGTCAGGACCTAGCTCTGAGGCACTGAGGAAGGAGCCAGGTAAACAAAGCCAGTCTGTGTTCTAGTGGAAGATAGGGCACCTGTGACTTCAGCATTATCTTCCTGCAGGAGGCACCATCTTCATCCAGTGTTGTTGTCTTCAGCCTCCTCTTCTGGAGTAGGGTCATATATCCTGCTGCCAGCAGTGCAGTCAAGAGGATGTCACTTTGCTTCTCATTCTGGCACTATCCTGAGATGACTCTAGCTTTCTCTGGGCTTCATAACTGAAATGGAAGCCACACGTGCTTAAAAAAAGTATAATGATGGCTTAGCAGTCAAGTCTGTGCATGCATACATGTATTGCATTTCTATCCTATCTTTTCTTTGAGGAGCTCAAGGTGGCATAAATGTTTCTTCTTGTCCTGTTTCCATTTTATATTCACCACTAAGGAAGGGACTGTCTTTCTGTTTTTATACTGCAGCTCCCAAACTTCCCCGGGCAGAATTCTGGGAGGTGGAGACATCTGTGTTTACCTCCGGTGGTGCTTTCTTTGGCCCGTTTCTATTTTCAAAATTAAGAAAGCTACCTGGGAGTCCTGTGTCTTCCTGGGAAAGATAGTTCTTTCACAGGTAGCCTCTAAAGAATGAGTCTGTGTCTCCCAGGAGGATTTAGATGTCTTCCAGGTAGCCATAAGACTGCTTCCTTCTTTTTTAAAAGTAGAAACAGCCCAAAGAAGGCACTGATGGGGCAAATACAGCTAATCTGTCGACTTATGTTTTCTGGGCTGTACCTCCCAGAATTCTGCCTGTGGAATTCTTCAAGAATTCTGAAAGTTTCCATTAAAAAAGAAAGAAACGCCCATACATATTTGCAACAGGCAGGTTAGGTTGGGATATTATGCCTGGCTTAATTTCTTAATCTCTCCGCCCAGAGACCTTCGGGTAGTGTGGGTGGCATATAAGTTAAATAAATAAATAAAATAAATTTCAGAACATGGGGGCATAGGAGGTTGCCTCATATTGAGGCAGATATTTGGTTCCTATAGCCCAGGGTTGATAATTCTGACTTGCAGCAAATGCTCTGCAGAGATTTCAGGCAGGATTCCTTCCAAGCTCTACCTGGAAATCCCTGATGTTTTCAGGTGAGTTCCCATCTAAGTATTAAGTAAACCTGCCCAGATTCCTGAATGAGTTGTGATTGGTGTGTTCAGAATGGTAAAAAGGAGCTTCCGCAGAATGTAGCTACTGGGCTATTGATCACATAACTTCTGTTCTGATTTGACTGCCAATGCATTTCAAAATCTGGTTCAAATTACTACATTTAACATATAAAGGTTTTAAATAGCTAAGGACCCCTTTATTCAAATTTGTTTTCTGTTCTGTCATGATGTGCATTTAATTTGAAATCCACACTGGAGGGTTTCCCTTGTGTACATCCTCCAAGAGATTCTTGGGATGTGTGAAATTTGAAAAACAAATTTGAAATTTTTATTTGAGAAGTTCTCATATTCATGGAGTAATTGTAATTTCTTTGTGAATTCCTGAACTGTTTAATATGAAGTTTGCATGTGATCATTTAATTTTAAGTTGCGATATACTTTTCATTTATAAATGAAGATTTCAGCATTTCATGAGCTTGTGTGTGTCAGCGGTAGAGGAAAGAGCTTGTATTTTAAGCCATTTTTGAAAAAAAAAACACACACACCACTCAAATGTCACATCCATGTGATCTTAAATACCAAACATTCCCAAGAGATACATTTTAAGCCTTTCTGATGACAAAAAGAGACGTGCAAATCATTTAAGTTCAATTTTCTAGGTAAGGCAATAGTTTAATTAGTCCTGCAATGTTGAGAAGAAATTCTGTGGCATTAAAGATTTTGAATAAATGTGATAAAACCTGCCAAACATTTGAATCTTACATACTTGTTGTTCCCTTGTCATGACGTTGTGCACCTGATTTTTGCAGAACACCTGTGCATTTTTAAATATCCTGATGGAATTCCTTCTCTTTAATTATCTTTGAGGTTTTTTTTCTAAATGGTGAATTATTACCTCTACTGAGCCTTGTAAAAAGTTTAAACGTCCACCCTATTGTTCTGCAGCACATGGTATTCCTTCTATGTGACAAAAATAACATTAGTTTCCATTAAGAGAGGGACGTGGTGGATTGGGGAAACCCAAGGGTTTCCTGAATTGGGTTATAGGTGGGAAATCACTAGGAGGCAGGGATGGGGATTCAGGTAGTGAGATTTGCTGTCAAGTCAAACTCAACTGGGGCATTTTAAAAATTACTCTTAACTCACAACTCTGAGGCCACCCACCCCTCTCTTTTTTCCTGGGGGGAAAAACGTTTTTAATGGGGACACAGATTTGAGGCTTGGAACTCTGGACTTAGTACCAAAGACTCAGATCTGGATTTGGAGCTCGAAGCCAAAGGCTTGCCAAATCTCTGCCAGGAAGACAGTTGAAAAGAAAGGGGAAGTTCCAAAACCATCAACATATGGACTGCAGTTGCTGAGTGGCAGTGGGGTGTTGATTGATGGTGAGGTGGGGCTGGGGGCAGAAAGCCATGTGGACGGGAGGATGGAATGGAGACTCCTGGAGGACAGTATTGATGATGGACTGAAAATAAATGTGAGGAATGTGTTTTGTTTTGTTTTTGCAGGTCCCGTTTGCTACTCAGGGCTTTCATTACCCACGCTTTTTGTTAGCACGCAGGTGCCAAACCTCCCTCCCTCTCTCCTGAACATGTTGGAGATTTGGCTGTACTTTCGTAGAGAAAGATTCAGAGGTGGTTTGCATGTTCCGTTTTCACA